CTTCATGCTCCCTCGTCATCTCATGACGAGGGAGCATGGAGATGGCATCCTGGCCAATCAGAAAGCAGGGCGTCGCATCATTATATGGCGCCCGGCTACCTTATTAGCCGGCCAGGCGGCTCCGGCGGAGGAAAGCCGTGTTCTCGCTGGAGAGGCCCCAGGGTTGACAGGCTACAATACCAAGGTAAGAGGGGACAGACTTTCTTGTTAATCGGGAAGCCGGGTGGCTAGTCTTTACACGCTGCCCAGCTAATCAGGAAGCCAGGTGGCGAGTCATTACACGCCACCTGGCTTCCTGAATGGGACTTCCGTTACTCGGTAATTGGTATTGGCGAGTACCGGAAAAAAATGATTGGTACTCGTACTCGGTACCAAAATACCGGTATCAGTGCACCCCTAGTAAAAAGAATAAATCAAGGCAACTGGACTTGCTGTATTTTTTTTCTTGAAGACCTTTCACTGGTCATCCAACCAGCTTTATCAATTCAGAAAAGCTGGTCTAATAACCAGCAAAACATCTTGAAGAAAACAAAATAACAAGTCCAGTTGCCTTGATTTTTTTTTTTTTAGATATATATATATATATATATATATAATCATTACCTGGATGATATACCATGACCTGGATGAATGAAAACCTTAACAGACATATGCACAACATTATTTAACCACTTCCGGGCCGCAATACGTCTATAGACGGCGGCCCGTTAAAGTGGTTAAAACAAGAACATGGCTGCTGCAGCAGCCTTGTTCTTGGTACCGCTTTTAACAGCAGGCGATCGCTGTTAATGTACAAGTGATCCGGCGTCTGTAAACCCGCCGGATTTATTGTACCGGGCGGCGGCTACGCATGTTACATATCGCTGCGAACGTCGGCGTGAGCGCAATAATTCGAGGTCCATCAATCACCGTTGGCACTAAACTGACGAGCGGTAAAAGCGTTTAAAATGTTCCCTATTGGAAATTTGGGGTATTGATTTTTTTGCGGCTTCACGGGCGAACACAATTTTAAGGCTTGACATGTTTGGTATCTATTTACCCGACGTGACCCCGTCTTTTATATATTACCAAAAAAACGGTTATTATATTCTGTTTCTGTGCACTAAATTTTTATTTAGTTTATTTTTTCCTAAAAATATTGGTTTGATAAACATTTGCGCAAAAACCGTGCGACATAAAACATTGCAACTAGTATCTTTTTATTCTACAGCGCCTCTACTTTCAGAACGTATATCATTGTTTGGGGGTTTGAAGCTGTTTTCTAGCCATAAATTGACATTTTATCATGTGTGCAAATAGTAAGAAAATGCCCTGGACAGCAAGTGGTTAAAGCAACCTTTCTTTACAACATTTTGCCTAAAATGGATAGTACTGTGATCATTAAAAAAAAAATCTGCCTGTCATATTCTAGTAAACAACACCCTAACCTCTTGCTTCTCATAAGTGCTGTCAATCAGCCCCCATTCCCACCTGAGTATTTTGTAGCGCGTTTTTGCACATTTCCTTACAGGTGACAATTCTCAGCATCAGAATTCCATTCTTTTCACATCTCCGAATTAGGACTGTTCAACACTCATTCCCTTGGAGCTCAAAGCTGTTTTTGGTCCTGTAGACTTCAATGGAAGTGCCTGTAAATGTGTGACACGAGTGTTTACACATGTTTTTGTGTCTGAAGGACTGCTCTTTTCCTCTCGAGCTGTCTTCCGTTGGTCAAAATGAATGCCCGAAGCTTGATTACAGGTGCAAAAATGCTTGTTAAGCATTTTAAAATGTGCGTTTTAAGCATGCTTCAAAATCGCCAGAAATATGCTCTACTCAGCAGAGCAGTCTGTCTCTCTCTGTCTCTCTTGGTAGATAATGTATATTAATATTGATGTGTTAATAGTCTCGTTATTACTGACAACATACTCTAAAATATGAGTGTTGTGGGGGGTTGTGATGTGATCACGTTTCATCTCACACCCTGAATATGGGTTTAACATGAAACATGGTCAGAAAAGTAAACTTAGCTTCTGACTTGGGGAAATGTATTTTATAAAGTATCTTCATTTATGCCAAGCATGGTTACAGGTTTTAAAGTCTACCTTCAGCCCAAACCACGTAAAGGTTTTGGCAGGAGTTATACTTTAAGGGTCAGTTACCACCCTAAACAGTGTGTTCCAGAGTGGACATTCTGGCCGGCTTCCTGCGTTCAGGGGCACGACCCCCGTCTGCAGTGTGATCGCCCGCACCACATCAGTGCCTGCGTTCCATTCCAGTGCCATCTCCAAAAATCGTGCTTGCCATACAGTGCATTCCAGAGGCTGACCGCTCTGAAACGCACTGTTTATGGTGTGAAGGGCTTGTGTAGACAGGCATTGTTTGTTTTCCTAGGTTTCACTCGCATCTGGAAAGCACATCAAATGTAGGTCAGCAGATTCACATTTCCTTTAATGGTGTAGTGTAGATGACAGTTCTTTCACAAAGCAGCGTGTGTTTGACCTGCTTTGCCTTGCATTTGTTTAGATGCTCGAAGTCCTATTGAAATGAATTTGCACTGCATACAAAGCAGGTCAGATGCTTTTGCCGCATTTCATGGCATACGTTTCACCACTGCCCATCTACCCAAGCACTGAGGATGGGTTTTGGCTGGATGGGGTGTTTAGTAGTGTCCATGCTACAAACGGAAACATTAGCTGTTCATATGTTCACTGCTGTACATCTGCTTGACTTTTGGGATTTGTAATATCAGTAGCTTTCTTTGATGTATTTTTTCTTTTGTGGCTTCTCTCGTATTACAATCCCTTTGGGGTTTGGTACCTGGAGGGTTAGTATTGAGGTCAAGTTACATACAATAATGAATGTTTGTTTATTTGTAAGGTACCTGGTTATAGGATTTCTAATCTCCTGTATAAATATGTTTTCTGCGTATAAAATTATTTACAGGGCTATGCACAAAAGGAAGGAAGTGGCAGGAGAAGTGAACAATCTAGGCCAAAATAGCTGATTTGGAAACATTCTCCCATTCAGCTCACTTTCCAGTTCAGCTATGTTGTCCTAGATTGTAAACTTATCCTGCCTTCTCCAAACACTATTTACCCTTTTAGTGTAACCCTGTAAGACTTTGAAGATCACATTTACACTATCGTACATTACATGTGTTGATGTGGTGAATGGAACCCTGATGCACCTTGCCAATAAATGTGTGTTGCCCTAAGGTCCTGCCAGATATGCTGTGCACACAGTTGTGGTCCATTTTGTAGTGCGTGGTCAAATGCATTCATTTGAATGACCTATCCTGATGCAATGCATGTTAACGCACATGTATCTAACACTGCATTGGATCAGGCTGCTATAAAGGCGCCCTAAAATTGAAAATAATTTATTTTACACTACCTTATTTTACCCAAGTGTAGGCTATTGCATGACATACATACACTTGTTAATATTTTAAGCTTTTTTCATTCATTATTTGCCTATACATCAGCTATTAACATTCGATAACAGAAGCAATTTGTTAGTAGGGGTACAGCTTTTAATAGTTAGTAGGGGTACAGCTTGTTGTTACGGGGTATCTGTCAACAATGGACTTCTGTAATAACCTGATTGTACACTTTTCTTGGCTTTTGCTGTTTAAAGTGCTACTTTACCTCTTAGGGTTTATTTGATTTTTTTTTTATTATTATTATTGACTTGCATTCTCATTATGTCATACTGTAAGGCGTCCTTGTTCCATCTCCTGCCTCATAACAGTGCTGAGAACAAATACTGAAACTGTCCTATAAAGAAGGTGCTGCCAGCATTACATGAAAGGAAACTGAACACTTTGTTTTATGGTTAGAGCAAGGAACTGTTAAATCTGTCAAGTTTTTTTTTATACTGTATGTGTCCCCATTGAAAAGATTCTCTCATATTTCCTGTCCTGTCTGACACTTCTCACCCTAGACCACCCTATGCCATGGATGTTGACTGCTAGTTCTGTAACTACAGGGCAGCTGTCACATCCAGCAGTCAGGAACCAATCAACATGGTTCGTGATCATGTGATTTACTATGGCAGCTAATCATAGTGGTTGCTTTGTTTATACATTAGCCAGCAGGCAGTGGGTATTAAAGTGATATTCAGTCTGTTGAAAAAAAAGTTATGACTTTAAAAATGATAAGGAATATTATAAGCTGTTTTCTACTGTAACCAGGGCTGGTCCTATAATGAGGCAGTTGCCTCAGCTGTCATTTTATTAGGGGGTGGTGGTGGGAGTCATCAGAGGAGCGGCCATGGAGTGGCCAGGTGGTGGTGGGGGGCATCAGGGCAGCAGCCAGGGGGTGGTGGTCATCAGGAGGGCGGCCACAGTGTCCCAGCCTGTGATGCTCTGTGGCTTCCTTGTCAGCTCACTGACGTCACCGGTTGCCAAGAGCAGAGTGGGATGCTCTGAGTTGCTTACTGCTGAGCTCCTGGCAGCCAATGATATCAGTGAGCTGAAAGGGACAGAGCCGATGACGTCTATCTACCAAACCCCCCACCCGAGTGTTCCCTGCCAGGACCAATCCAGCACATCACCTAAGATGGTGAATAACTTAGTCATCATCTAATTACAGTCAGAACTGTCCTTATCATTCTGAGTGATGTTTATGTTGATTTTATTAGTGTTCTAAGAGACATGGCACTCTCTGAACATACGTAAAGGTGTGCAGTACCGTTGGCAATTAGCTGGCCAAAGAGAAAACAGCTAGTGCTTCAAACCTACCGCTGAGGTGGTTGCAATTTTACCACAAATTCCATGCCTATTTCGGGGAAAAATGTCAGTGAATTACAGAAATGGGAAGGGGGTTAGTATTCTGCTGAGTGTTAAGTAGCAATGCTATAATTGCTGGAAATATTTTTTTTTAGTTTAGAAAACTAGATGACTGCAAATTGTAATAGAAGGATCATAAAAAAAAAAAACAACCCATTAAATTACAATAAGACAATTTTTAACAAAACTATAGCTTTCCTTTTAACCATGCGTTAATAATGTTTTCCAGAGTATCCCCGGGCATTAAAAATGGCTGCAAAAGACTCAGGGGAGCAGAATCCTGCTTGCAAAATTATGACTTTCCGACCCACTATGGAAGAATTCCGAGATTTCAACAAATATCTGGTATACATGGAGTCTAAAGGTGCTCACCGATCTGGGTTGGCAAAGGTAATAGTTCTAGGATATTGAGATTTATGTGTTAACATTGTGGCTGACATGTATGTTACCTTTTGGTAGAGTTATAAGAATTTTGTAACATTACAGAGGGAAACCCATGACTAGGTGAGATGACAAATGCTTGCCACACATGTTGTGACCTCCTGCAATCATCTTTAGATTTACAAACAACTGTGTACTAAAGAGGCTCTACAAAGCATTCAATTTAATTCATATATCCGTTCAGACAGACCCCCAACACTCCATATGTGTTGACAGATCTAAAGGAGAGTATACAAATAGATTGTAATATTTGTGGCTAGCTTTAGATAACACATCCAATAGCAGGTAAACAACTCTTGATAGCGTTAGTAAATTTTTCTTGATCATACATCACAGGACACAGGGAGGTAAGTCTGGAACAAATGGGTTACGCAGCTATCTTCTGGTGATTGGACACTTTTTCTCTCCGCTGTAAGACAAGCACATGCTTTTCTGCACTTTACTGATCAAGACACTTATAGCAAGTCTCCCTAGGCTGCTTACAGCCAATGTGTCACCCGTCAACAGCTATCTGGCTTTGTTTTCTACTCGACTGAGCCTAGGTGGACCATGCCTGCACCCTGTAGTAAGGAAATTGCGAGACTGGCCTGTAAGGTGTTCAGGGCCCCGGATTCTGCATGCGGCACTCGCCTTGGCACCTTGTGCAGTTGCCACAGGATGCTATATAGTTCTAGAGCCCTGACTCAGTGGAAACCGGTCCCTGAAGACTCGCTTTGGGCAGTTTGCCCACTGGGATTTCACTCTAAAGGCCGGCTAAGCCAACAGTAGTCCCTGCTAGAGGTTTCCATATAGGTGGCCTGTGGAGCTACACTGTGCAGTTTTCCTCTGGGGTACTATACTGCGCATGCCCCCTACACTTTTAGTCTACGGGCACACTCTGAGTTGACCACACATTGGTATTGCTGCAGCTGTGACTCTGTAAACCTACACATTGGGTTCAGATCTCTGGACTGTTACACTGGGACACGGGGATACAAGGCACCCTCCAGGCTTCATGGTTGCAACTTCCTGGGGTTTCTCTCCCAAGCTATAGAGGAGTGTAGACACAGGGATATACAATATTGCCAAAAGTATTGGGACGCCTGCCTTTACATGCACATGAACTTTAATGGCATCTCAGTCTTAGTCCGTAGGGTTCAATATTGAGTTGGCACACCCTTTGCAGCTATAACAGCTTCAAATCTTCTGTTAAGGCTGTCCACAAGGTTTAGGAGTGTCTCTATAGGAATGTTTGACCATTCTTCCAGAAGCGCATTTGTGAGGTCAGGTACTGATGTTGGACGAGAAGGTCTGGCTCGCTTTGTACACTGGTGCGCAGTCATGTTGGAACAGGAAGGGGCCATCCCCAAACTGTTCCCACAAAGTTGGGAGCATGAAATTGTCCAAAATGTCTTGGTATGCTGATGCCTTAAGAGTTCCCTTCACTGGAACTAAGGGGCCAAGCCCAACCCCTGAAAAACAACCCCACACCATAATCCCCTCTCCACCAAACTTTACACTTGGCCCAATGCAGTCAGGCAAGTACCGTTCTCCAGGCAACCGCCAGGGAAACCCATTCCATGAAGCTCTCTACGCACTGTTGTTGTGCCAATCTGAAGGCCACACGAAGTTTGGAGGTCTGTAGCTATTGACTCTGCAGACAGTTGGCGACTTCTGCACACCGTGCACTTCAGCATGCGCTGACCCAGCTCTGTCATTTTACATGGCCTACCACTTTGTGGCTAAGTTGCTCTTGTTCCCAGTTGCTTCCACTTTGTTATAATACCACTAACAGTTGACCGTGTAGCAAGGAAATTTCACGGATGGACTTATTGCACAGGTGGCAACCTATCACGGTACCAGGCTTGAATTCACTGAGCTCCTGAGAGCGACCCGTTCTTTCACAAATGTTTGTAGAAGCGTCTGCATGCCTAGGTGCTTGATTTTATACACCTGTGGCCACGGAGGAGATTGGAACACCTGAATCCAATGATTTGGAGGGGTGCCCCAATACTTTTGGCAATATAGTGTATATGTCCTCATCTGACCCTAAAGAAAAACACTTACCCCATAGTTCTTTTTTAATCAAGGGCATTCGACTAGCAGCACCTGGCTGCTACTTAGCCCCTTAATTCCTATCGAAGCAGTAAAGGTGTACTTAGTTTTTCACATCCAACTTCTCCATTTTGGCTTTGTTTGTAAAATAAATAATGACACTATCATTCCTACAACCTCAACAACAACATGTCTTTGTTCATCTGAGGTTGTATTTACCTAATTTTAAGACCTTCTAGGCACCAGATCATTTTTATTATCTCCAGATACATCAAATCATATAATTCAAAGAAGGTGTTCTTTTTCCATTCACATGACTGTAATAGTAATAAATAATCACCTGTGGGGAAAAAGTTATAAAAGTTTTTACTAGCATTGGTGGTAAAGGGAGTTGGGGGACAGGGTATGTCTGAAATCTCGGTAATGATTAGGATCCACAATCTCGCAAGAAGATGCTCCTACACTGCTGGAGTGTCCCCTCTCAAGATTTGGCATACTCCGCATTCTAGGATCACAATATATTTTTTTTTGTAATGGTAATTTGATATGCTGTGATAATATTTTTTTTACCCTTGGTGAAGATAATAATTGTAAAAATAATAAATGAATAAAGATGAAAGTTTAAAGGTGGTGATGTTTGTGTTGTGATTACTATTAATTTGATAAATAAAAAAACTTTAAACCATCTATTGTTTGGTGGTTGTTTCTATCTATATTCCGTGATTACTTTTATAGTGTAAAATATTCCCGAATCCGTGTGGCGGGGTCTAATACGCCTCACTCCTCCAGAATTATTGTGTAGTAATAAAGTGCAATGTAGCTGTTAGCATAATATTAGTGCATATCTAAACCACTTAAATAAATAAAACAATTAAATAAAACACAAACTATATTGAGTGATCTACTTATCATAAAGTGGATTCCAAAAGTGATAATAACCAATGATTAGGTAAACAACTCTGTATAAAGTCTAGAAAAAAATATAATATTAAAAAACTTTCAATTTATTATGGTATAGCCACCCTGAGTCACCAGTTTATCTTCAATGTAGCAACTACTCGGTTAAACTGTAACACATATTCATTGTAGCAAGTAAGTGAACTGGATATAATCTCTTATAGGGAACCTATCCAGAGTAGAACGAAGCCAGCCAGATCACCCAACAATAGATGGTTTAAAGTTTTTTTTATTTATCAAATTAATAGTAATCACAACACAACCATCACCACCTTTTAAACTTTCATCTTTATTAATTTATTTTTACAATTACTATCTTCAAGGGTAGAAAAAAAAAACCAAGGGTAAAAAAATATTATCGCAGCATTTACAATATACATGAGGATACGAACACTAGGTGGAACAATTAACACCAAGCGCAACGTATTAGCCTTCACTGATCACGTTTTATATACATTGTTGCAGCTGGCGATTAAGTATACTCTATCCTAGCGCAACTAAATTGGTTTAATTAGATGTAATGAGCAGCCCTTGCCTTTTAAGTGTATGGTCTACTTTAAACTCCTGCCCTCACAGTAGGGCATATAGTCCTTACAAAGCCTTCCCTCACCATCTTTATGTTTGTCTTAAAGTGACATTAAACCCTCAGATTTTTTAACATAAACCAATACTGTAATGTGTGCCTTACTGTAATCCATGGTAGTTTCCCTTCTCTTTGCTGCTCTTCCTTTTAAATTCTCATGTCTTCTCATCCTTGGGGAGAACTTCCCTTTTGCAGCTGACTGCCTCTTCCTGTAGTACTGGCTCAGGTTGTGAACCTTCACACAGACACCGTGTATCCATTCCTGAGACAAGGCAGCCTGCTGCAAAACAGAAGTTCTGCAGAGCATGAGAACACATACAGATTTAAAAGGAAGAGCAGCAAAGAGAAGGGAAACAACTATGGATTACATGTGTAAGGCGCACATTACACTATTTTTTTATGTTAAAAAATCTGAGGGTTTAATGTCACTTTAAGTTGGGGGTGCACTCTCCTACTCCTGAAGCAGCATGGCATGAAGAGCCCCCCTAATTCTATTGTCATTATTTTGAACATTTCGGCGCATGTTCAAAACAAGGGTGTTGCAGTAAAAATTAGTTTCTTCTTGTACATTTTAAAAGCACGTTAAAGGTCCGTATTCTTGCAAAGATTGCTCTCTAGAGTTTAGGGCTGCTTTAAACTGCCATGTGGCAAAAGTGAATTGTGTTCTGATCACCAAACTCTAAATTAACACGTTTACAAATTATTCATTTTTTTTACTAACCTCCTTTTTCTGTTTTTTTGTGTGTGTTTTAAAGGTGATACCACCAAAGGAATGGAAACCCAAGAAGCATTATGACGACATAGATGATCTTGTCATTCCTGCTCCAATCCAGCAGATGGTCACTGGCCAGTCAGGCCTCTTCACTCAGTATAATATCCAGAAGAAACCAATGACTGTAAAAGAGTTCCGAAGAATGGCAAATAGTGACAAGTACGTGTTAAGCTTCATTAGAAAATGTACACATACTCTTTGATGGTCAGGCTACTTTAATGATAGCGGACACTGCAATGTTGCTTAATGAGCAAAATAATAATCCATGATCCTTTTCATTCACTCGGGCAAGTATACGTATTAGTGCTTGTACTGTATAATTATAATCATATGAGGTAGATTTATTAATAAGGAAAAAATAAATATGTTGGATGTTGCAAACTGCTGTACAGGACATCCTTAAAATAGTTTTATTCCTTTGCAAAACATGCAGGCAGGTATGCCTTGGGGATTAAACAGAGAGGCAAAGAACCCTGTAGTGCCTGATATACCTACTAAGAATTCTGAAAAGTTTGCTCACTCTCTTTTTGAAACTTTGCAAAGCTTGAGCTCCGTACAAACCCATGCAGTATACTACAGAAAACGGAAAAAAACAGTGCGCCTCTCTAGTGTAGAAGACTGAGTGAAAATGTTAAAACATGCAAGACGTGTACTCGCAAGCAGCCCATGTTAAAAAGCCTCTAATGTGCAGAGGTGAATCTGCATTCAATAGACATCAGATGTCAGGACCTTCGATAAAAGCAATCCTCCTTCTGCTAACATGACAGGCTGGGTGAACGTGTTTCCAGGGCGATACCCCCTTCGTCAGAACCTAGCAGTCCGCACCAACAAGTTCCTATAAGACTTGAAAACTTGTTGGTGGGGACTGCTTGTCGGCTGTCGCTGTCCGGAGGAGATAAGTAAGCATCTGAGTTGGGGATGTCTGGTTAGATTAGGTTAGGGGACTAGGAAGGATAGGCTTTTTTTAATGTAAACTTTTCTTTTTAAAGGTGGTAACCTTTTTTTTAATTTAAATGTGTTCAATGTGTTTTTTAATAGTGTGGTGTCACATCTATAACATGGGTACAAAAAATGAAAAAAAAGGCCTCAGTCATGAAGGGGTTAAGACATGTTTGACATCCTGCTTTTAACATGAAATGTAAGTTTCTGCATATTTTGTTGTAACTGTCCAGGTACTGCACCCCAAGATACTTAGACTATGAAGATCTGGAACGTAAATACTGGAAAAATTTAACTTTTGTGGCGCCAATTTATGGAGCAGATGTCAATGGAAGCCTGTATGATGAAGTAAGTTAATTGTTTTATTCTGTTTGTTTTCTGCAGTAAAAGAAGCTGGGCAAAACTTGATAGAAAGCTAAATGCTTGTGAAAGAGAGAGATTATAATTATTATTATTATTATTTATTGCTTTTGCATATAAATGTTTATTAAAGGCTAATTCCACTTTCCTGCTAATTTGGTGAAATGGCATTACCCCCACCCATCTGCCCCCTCTACTCCCTCCCCGCAGCACACCGGTATTACCCGGCAACGATTGCTCTTCCCCTCCACGACTGTTAGTGTAATATCCATATTCCATACATGGGATTGTAGCACTTTGGTATGTATTTCAAATTTCGCTCGCAAAAGGTGAGCACTCATTGGTCAGAGCCGTCAACAGCACTTCTCGTTGAGTGCTTGCTTTTTACAAGTGTGTGGATATTACACTGACAACTGTGGAGAGGAAGGAGCAATCATTGACAGGTAAGAGTAGCGGGCTGGGGGGAGGAAGTAGTGGGGACAGATTGGTGAGGGTATTTCCATTTTCCCAAATTCACCCGAGAAAGTGGAATTTCCTTTTTTTTAAGGTTGGTAACACAAAAAAAGAGCTCATTATGTCATATGAAAGATTCAAAAGACATATAACATCTTGTATAATTTCATCAATACATCATAATTTCTTAGTGTTCATGGCAGTCTGCAAAGTTGGTAGGATCGTACTTTCGGGAAGAAACGTGAATTGGATGGGTGGAGGATACATGCATGTATATGTCCGACCCAAACCCATTAAGTTGTAGCAAAAACACTAATAGTGTTCACGGGCCTCGTTGAGTAAGAATGTGTGTTGCCATAAAAATGTGACACTGGAAATTCATAGCAGAGGCTAAATTATGGAACCGAAAGGAGGTACAATATCCCAGGCTCCAGTTATTGCAAGCCCCTACTTTCCTGGACTCGCACCATGTCCATGCATAGAAGACAATGGTGTAGTTGCACACTATAGTTAAAGAGTAGCGATATTTGGTTATAACAATGCAAAAACTGACGGGGGCGGGTACAGCTGGCTCTGCCTCTACATAGGCAGAGCCCGCTGTCACTCACGCAGCTGGGCGGATCCCGGCACAATTGTCGGGATCCGTTTCAGCTGCGGCGTCTCAGTATACCACGAGCTACAGCTGAGCCTAGGGTGACGGGAGGACGATAGTTTGTGTCCTCCCGTTACCCTAAGGAGAACTATGGGGAAAAGCACTAACCCCATAGTTCTCCTGAGTTTTTAGTGTCATTTAAACTAGACCAACAAAAGCCAGAACAGCGAGCTGGACATCACCAGAATCTTTTTAACCGTTTACAGTTTGATTTGAATGGTCAAGGCTGCTTAAAGGATATATTTTGCCAGTTACCATTTAAAGGTTAGGTCTACCTTTTTATAAATGCTTCTAAACTAAGTTGCAATACAAAGCAAGGACATAAAAGTCATCAACTTTTGCAAGTATTATTTATTTCTTGTTTTTGTTTCATCATGTTTGGATATGACTTTGAAGATTCTTGATGTGTAAGTTCTGCAACATATCAGATGTGTTAATTAAAACAAACTATACAGTATGTGTTGAAAAGCCAAAGCTTCTGTTTAAAGTAGTTGTATGTTTATTTTAGACAAGTGTGTTTATATTAAGTAAGGTATACTACTGGTAAACACCATCATTTTTTTCAGCTTTTATTAAAAGTAGGCTGTTCAAACCCAGTAAATAAGTTGGTACAAATGTGCAGTAGACTTAAAAACAATGCAGGCTTCAGAATTAGAACTGTTAAAGGGATAGGCTTTTGCTTTTAGAAATTGTGAAGAAAGCCAAAGTGTCAGTGAGTACAGTTTCCTAGACCATTGAGAATCACTTGTTAACTGGAAGAAGCTCTGACAGAACCAGGTCTGGGAGACCCAAAACCACAACTGGATTTTTAATGATACACCTTACAGGACAAAGTGTCAAGAACAGCTTACCCATGTTCATAGTGAGCAAGGCTCACTTTAATCTGTGAAGAGAATACTTTTGAGCTGCAAGTTTGACAGGTCTGGTGGCAGTAATGATGGCAACATAAGAAAACCATGGTCAGTGGACTACAGAAGTCTGGAATAGAAGTCATATACTGTACACTATTTAATCTAGGGATGCAGATACTTGGCATTTTCATGAGAACTACCAGGGTTGCAGAAATCATTAGTCTGTATTGTTTTAGAAAAACTGTCACATGTCAATAAACATAAATGTATCAGTACTCGTACTTGTAAGTACTCGGCAAGTACCAGTACTCGTACTCGCAAAACTGGTATCTGTGCATCCCTTCATTTATATTTATAAAAAACAAAATCGTACATTAAAACAGAGATGTACAAATCCCAGGAGCTCCGTGTGCTCCTTACAAATGACAGCTGCCTCCTAATTTTTGAATTTTTCTCTAGTCTAGTCTTGGAGCTCAAAAGTATCGGTACATGTACTCGTACCGAGTACTGTACTTGGTATCTGTGCAACCCTAATTTAATCAAAGTCGGTCTTCAGTACATCACACAGGTTTTTTTTTTACATGAAGAATGGATGGTTTTTCAATCAATGACACCTAGGGGTCTATTTATAAACAATTCACAGGGCCTTTCACCCTGCGAAGTAAGAAAACAATTGCTAATATGGCAAAATAAGAAAATCAAGAACCTTAACTAATGGACTTTTTTAAAGTCTGGAAGAAAGTCATATGGACCAATTATTGAAAATCAAAAAGTCATCAATACATCACACTCGTTTTTTTTCACTGTCGAGTAAATGAAAGGATGTTTTTTCAGTGAGTTGATGCCATGGGTCTATTGAGAAACACTTTATAGGGCCCTTCGCCCTGCATGTGCTGTATAGGATACACAGAAGATGAATTCTCGCTGGTGGGGGAGGGGAAGAATATTTTTGGCAAAAGAGGCTTTGCATGTCTCTTCTGCCAATAATCCATACCTCCCAGCAATTTATTTTTTCTCCCTTCCGCTTTAATATGTTTTCTTTGCAGGTTGAATGCATTGCCATTTAATATTGCATTATGTCCACGAGATGGAGTATCTTTGCAGGTCAAATGTATTGTCATGTAATACTGCAATTTGGACACTAGACAGAGCTGAGGAGCATAGTTCAATAAAAACTGGAAAAATAGGGATGTTTGAAAACTTTGGATTGGTAGTAAATATGTGGTGCGCTGTCAGAAACATGATTCCTCTGTTTCATTGTTCAGCTTTATAGCTGTGTTACCTATATTTGGGGTAGAGTGATAGGGATTCAATGTCCTGTGAGCATCCTGAAAGCCAAGAGGTGACATGGAAGCTACATAGTGAAATGAGGCAATTGGGTGTATGTATATACTGTATGTGCATGTATGTATGTATGTGCATGTATGTATGTATCATAGTTGTAGGCATTGTTCTGATTTTGCAATGTAAATGTGCGAGATTGACTTTGACAATGCATTGACAGTGCATTGCTTTGCTATAATTTGTTAATGGCACCCCAACACACTTGGCCATCGCACATGCGTTGCCTCACTCCACATTTGGTGCATCAGAACTTTAAGAAAAAAAGGGTCATGCACTCTTCTGGTGTGATTTTCTTTTTGATGCCGTAGGCTACTACAGCTCACAGTAATGCATGTAAAAACACGCTCCAATGCATGTGCGATGTCACATTTGCACAAATCTGAATCGAGCTTTAGTTTTTTTACGTTTTCCTAAAGATTTTTTCATAAATCACAGAAAACTGATTTTTTAAAAAGAATATATGAATAAGTAAATTGTTTGTATATACAGTCATGGCCAAAAATATTGGCACCCCTGCATTTCTGTCAAATAATGCACCACTTCGCGCAGAAAATTGTTGCAATTACAAATGTTTAGGCATTCTCATGTTTATTTCTTTTGTTTGTATTGGTATGACACACAAAAGTGGAGAAAAAAAAAGCCAAGTCTGACACATTCCACGCAAAGCTCCAAAAATGGACTGGACTAAATTATTGGCACCTTCTTCAAATTGCATTCCAAGTTTTTGTGGAAAAGCATGGACAATCTCAAGGTTACTAGTCTATCTCCAGAGAGCTTAATGTTCTTCTGTCCACTGTTGCGCAACATTGTGAAGACGTTTACAGGCCATGGCACTGTAGCTAATCTACCTGGACGTGGATGACAGAGAACAATTGATCAAAGATTGCAAGGAAGGATTGTTGGAATGGTGGATAAAGACCCTCGATCAACTTCCAGACAAATTCAAGCTGAACTTCAGGCACAGGGTACAACTGTGTCAGCTCGCACTATACGTCACCATCTGAATGAAAAGGGACGTTATGGTAGGAGACCCAGGAGGACCCCACTGCTGACACAGAAACATAAAAAAGCCAGATTGGAGTTTGCCAAAACTTACCTGAGGAAGCCAAAATCCTTTAGGAAGAATGTGCTGTGGACAGACGAAACAAAATGACAGCTTTTTGGTGCAGCCCATCATTCTACTGTTTTCAGAAAAAGAAATGAGGCCTTTAAAGAAAAAAATACAGTCCCTGCAGTGAAACATGGTGGAGGTTCACTGATGTTTTGGGGCTGCTTTGCTGCTTCAGGCACTGGATGTCTTGACTGTGTGCATGGCATTATTAAATCTGAAGACTACCAAATAATTCTGGGGTGCAATGTAGGGCCCAGTGTCAGAAAGTTGGGTCTCTGTCAGAGGTCATGGGTCTTACAGCAGGACAATGACCCAAAGCACACGTCAAGAGGCCAGCAATGTGTCCAGATCTAAATCCCATAGAGCACCTGTGGAGAGATCTCAAAACATCAGTATGGAAAAGGAACACTTCAAATCTGAGAGACCTGGTGCAGTTGGCGAAAGAAGAGTGCTCCAAAATTCCTATAGAGAGGTGTAAGAAACTCATTGATGGTTACAGGTAGCAATTGATTTCAGTTATTGTTTTACAAGGGCTGTGCTACCAAATATTAATTGAGGGTGCAAATAATTTTGTCCC